TGGAAATTGTAAAAATGTAGTTGAATTTGTTTCCCGCGGTCGCAGCGGTCGAACAAACGATCCGAGGGACTGTAGGAGACCCACCCGTACTCATTATTCCCAAAACTACTTCATAAAAAATAGGTCCGAAGACAGTTCAAGTACAAGTAAGAGCTCACCTCGCGACGGCTCAGCATCCTTCCCTGGCTAATGCTGGGGACTTTGTAAAATGCTTCAGCTTTGGTCATGAGCAGGATGATCCCCATTCCTGAAAAAGAAAGGAGAGTTAGTAAGAAAATGTTTGGATCTTGTTTTTTTATACTGCCTTTATAATAGACTTCAAGCACAACGCCGGATATATGACGCTTATCCTAGCCCTCTATATACACAGCCGTCTAAAAACACGTCATTAATTAGTTAGAAAAACAAGCGGCCAACTGGTAAACAGGGTGGAGTTAAGATATCGACAGCAATTTAGAGAAGCTGTCAAGTTCCCAGTTCCTAAGTATCACCTGATCACCCCATCCCCTTGAGTACCTGTGAAATAGAGCGCTGTCACTCCTCAGAATCTTTCCCACCAACATGGTGTCTTTTTCAGGTGTTCTCAGTCCCCAATGCTTAAGCCGAGAATTTAGCGATGGTTTGTTGGAAGAGCATAGTTATTCAGAAAGTACTCCTAGTTGGCGTAACGTGACCTAATACCCACATACCTACTTCGAGTAGACATGTCTACAAAGACGAACCATTTCCTATTTTGGCAGGACTGCCACCAGAGCAAAAATAAAATGTCTAAAGAATCTTGCAACAACAGGGGAAAAATCGGTCGATAAATGTGTTGTACTATGTACCATGCTGATGCCACATGAACTAGCTGAATGTACCGCCACGTATTTTGCCTATATTCTGTCGCTTCATGACTCGTCTGTGAAGGGGTTCGCCTTTTCACTGGGTCCCCCAGTGTTCCCATTGTGCATTCTAGTTAATAATGCGGTTTTTGAATTTCAGATTTTTTACCTCTTCCCGGAACACATGCCCAAACTTTGAATAAATCGTTTAGGAGTGAGCTTTAGGAGTAACTTTGAAACTTCTTAGCCAAGGATTCTCATTGAAAAGAATAGCAAACCCTACCGGCAAAAGGTTATAGAACAATCAGCTCCAAAAAAGCCTGTTTTCATTTCCT